TGGGGAAACCCTGGGTTGCAGTGCCGTGGTGAGGGAGATAGGGGAGCCAGGGTTGATGGAGAACTTCCCAGGATACTCCACAGGGGACCCTAACTCTGTGGTCTACCCTTTCCTGCAGCTTGTGATTGTGACCCTAGTGGAATAGACACACCTCAGTGTCACCGCTCCACAGGACACTGCAGCTGCCGTCCAGGCGTGTCTGGAGTGCGCTGTGACCAGTGTGCCCGTGGCTTCTCTGGTGTCTTTCCTGCCTGCCACCCCTGCCACACATGCTTCGGGGATTGGGACCGTGTGGTACAAGACTTGGCTTCCCGTACACGGCGCCTGGAGCAGTGGGCACGGGAGCTACAGCAGACGGGTGTGCTGGGTGCCTTTGAGAGCAGCTTCTGGCAGATGCAGGAGAAATTGGGCACTGTGCAGGGCATTGTGGGTGCCCGCAACACCTCAGCTGCCTCCACCGCACAACTTGTGGAGGCCACAGAAGAGTTGCGGTGCGGATGGGCCTGAGGATACACGGTGGGATGGGACAGAGGCTCTATAGACCAGGGCTGAAGGCTCTCTAAACATGCCTCCCTAACCCCCATTGGCACAGGCGTGAAATCGGTAAGGCTACTGATCATCTGACTCAGCTGGAGGTAATGCTGACAGATGTCCAGGATGAAAACTTCAATGCCAACCATGCACTAAGTGGTCTGGAGCGAAACGGGCTTGCACTTAATCTCACATTACGGCAGCTTGACCAGCATCTGGACCTGCTCAAGCATTCAAACTTCCTGGGTGAGTTGTTGGCCAACTAGGCAGGTGTGGACCAGGGTCAATCTTCAGCTGACTGCCTGTCTCTGCCCAACTTAGGTGCCTATGACAGCATCCGCCATGCCCACAGCCAGTCTGCAGAGGCAGAACGTCATGCCAACACCTCAGCCCTGGCAGTGCCCAGCCCTGTGAGCAACTCAGCAAGTACCCGGCATCGGACAGAAATGCTGATGGTTTCCCAGAAGGAGGACTTCAATCGCAAACATGTGGCCAACCAGCAGGCACTGGATGAGCTGTCTGCCCGTACCCACGCCCTGAGCCTGACAGGCATAAATGAACTGGTGAGGCACAAGTGTGGGGTGGGAAAGGTGGGCATGGATGTTCCTCCCACAGGGTCCTGACTTGTTCTGTGCCTGGCAGGTGTGTGGGGCCCCAGGGGATGTACCCTGTGCTACGAGCCCTTGCGGGGGTGCTGGCTGTCGGGACGAGGATGGTCAGCTCCGCTGTGGGGGCCTCAGCTGCAAAGGGGCAGCAGCCACAGCAGATCTAGCGCTGGGCCGGGCCAGGCACACGCAGGCAGAGCTGCAGCGGGCACTGGCAGAAGGTGGCACCATCCTTAGCCAAGTGGCTGCGACTCGTCGGCAGGCAGGCGAGGCACAGCAGCGGGCACAGGCGGCCCTGGACAAGGCTAATGCTTCCAGGGGACAGGTGGAGCAGGCCAACCAGGAGCTTCGAGAACTTATCCAGAGTGTGAAGGACTTCCTCAGCCGTGAGCCTCCCAAACGGCCCAGGCCATGTGGTTGTTTCCCCCATATCTGTCTTCCTAGGTTCATACTTGCGCCTCAGGATCTCCTGAGTTTATGATCCCATGTCTGGACCTGTGTTTATGATCCCATGTCTGGCCTCTGAGTCCTTGTCCATATGTGGTCCCCAAATCCATGTCCCCAAGTCTGTGCCCCTTGTATAATTTGTCTCTGTGTTATATCCATATGCCTATTAGCAAACTCCTATCCCATAAACAGCCCAAGTCCACACCCCAAGATTGTGTTCCTATGCCCATGCTAGAGAATCTGTGTCCTTAAGCCCTTGCCTGTGTCCACATAGAGGAAGGGGCTGATCCCGATAGCATTGAGATGGTGGCCACACGGGTGCTAGAGCTCTCCATCCCAGCTGCACCTGAGCAGATCCAACACCTGGCGAGTGAGATTGCAGAGCGGGTACGGAGCCTGGTAGATGTGGACACGATCCTGGCACGGACTGTGGGAGATGTGCGTCGGGCTGAGCAGCTACTGCAGGATGCACGGCGGGCACGGTCTGATCCCGACCCTGGCCGCATCCCTGACACCTGGTCTTGATACCTGCAGCAGGCACTGATTTCCACTCTTCCCCAGGAGCTGGGCTGAGGGTGAGAGACAGAAGGCAGAGACAGTACAGGTGGCACTGGAGGAGGCCCAGCGGGCACAGGGTGCCGCCCAGGGTGCCATCCAGGGAGCAGTGGTTGACACACAGGACACAGAACAGACCCTGCACCAGGTGTGGTGGTCTCCCCAGGACATCAGTGGGATAAGGTTTTGGGCATACACCATAGATCTGTTTAACCCTGGGCCCATCCATGGCAGGTACAGGAGAGGATGGCAGGTGCAGAGCAAGCATTGAGCTCTGCAGGTAAGCAGGCTGAGCAACTGGATATTTTCCTGGAGGCTCTGAAACTGAAACGGGCAGGAAATAGCCTGGCAGCCTCTACAGCTGAAGAAACGGCAGGCAATGCCCAGGGTCGTGCCCGGGAGGCTGAGCAGGTGGGTTACGGCAGAATCAGCTGAAGGAGGTGAGGTAGATGCTGGGCCTCCACTGAGCTACCTTACTGACCCTGCCCTCTACATCTGCAGCTGCTGCAGGGCCCACTGGGCGACCAGTACCAGACGGTGAGGGCTCTGGCTGAGCGCAAGGCTCAGGGTGTGCTGGCTGCGCAGGCGAGGGCAGAGCAACTGCGGGATGAGGCTCGGAGCCTGTTGCAGGCCGCTCAGCACAAGTTACAGCGGCTACAGGGTGAGGAGTGGGGCGAGTGGGCATCAGAAACATGGGACTGTGGGAGCGGGACCCCTAAGCTAATACATGCTCTTCCCAGAACTGGAGGGCACCTATGAGGAGAACGAGCGGGCACTGGAGGGCAAAGCGGCCCAGCTAGACGGGCTAGAGGCCAGGATGCGCAGCGTGCTTCAAGCCATCAACCTGCAGGTCCAGATCTACAACACCTGCCAGTGATCCCTGCCCAGGCCTACTTCAGTTTCCAGCCTGCGCCGCATGCGTGTTTGCCTATACATTAAAGAGCTCTGGGCCTGGCAGGGCTTCCAGTAAACCGGTGTGAACCCCGACTGTGTTGTGTGGACTCTGATTTGGGGCGGGCGGGGTCTCTGGGCCGAACTCGAGGCTGCCACCAACCGGGCTCGCGCAAGGCCAAGGCACCGGAACCCCGCCTCCTCCGCTCTTGCCGGCCTCACTCTCGCCGGAAGCGCGTCACAGCCCGGTGCTCCACCTCCTGCGGCCGTAACTAGAAGTCGAAACAAAACAAGCGGCTAAGGAGGTGGTGGCGGCTGCTGCGGCAGCGGCGGCGCCGGAACGGGGGAGGGGCGCGCCGGAACCGGAACCGATCTGACGCCGGAACCGGAACCGAGAGCGGGTTGCCAGGGCCCGAAGAGGGCTGGCGGCGGCTGTCTCGTTTGGTGAGTGGGGCGGGCCGCAACTCGCCAGTTTGGCCGGAGCGAGGAGGCCGCGGCGCGGGCCCGGGTCGGCCTGTTCAAGGTCACGGGCCGTGCCAGCCCCGACCCTTCGACCCCTGCGGTGTGCCAAGCCCACCGATGCCGGCTGGGCTGTTATGCTACGCCGGTTGCTGGCCTCCCGCCTCGGAGAGGACTGGTAACGAGCGAGGGCGGCTTTCTGAAGGAGATGGTAGCAGGCCTGGGGGTCGGAGACTGAAGCTGGGTCGCAGTCCGGCCTGGGTGCTTGCTGGTTTGTGGTTAGTAGTCCAGCGCAGCCGTATCAGGCTGGCTTGGGTCTCTAGACAGCCCCTTTCTTGCCTCGACGGCTCCAGAGCATGGGAGAAGGACGCGGCTTTCGGCCGCGGTCTGGATGTGAGGAGGAGGCGGCGGGTGGCCGCCCCTCTGCTCTGAACCTGCCATCATTAAAGATCCAGCCCACCAGTGCCGCGTCTGACCAGTAAAGGAGTATCCTGCCACCCCCGCATTCCCCCTTCCCTCCCACACCCCCACACTCAGGGGAACACAGACTAATCACTATCTGTCCTACTACTTGAGGCTGAACTTGAGGCTAGGGTCCTGGATCCATGGTTCATCCTACCTTCATCTCAGTGTCTGGTTTTGAGAACTTAATTTTGGTTGGAGGAAGAGTCCAGAATTTACTGGCGGGTCTGTGGAAAACTGGGTAAGAGGTCCCTGTGCTCAGAGCTGATAAGTGAAAGGGTCTGGAAGGGAAGATGATGTCTGTTGCAGTCTCAAACTGGATGTCAGTCCTGCCTCGAGTGGGGTTGCTGCTGAAGGGCTAGTGTGACATCTAGATACCCTCTTCAGCCCCTCTGTGCTTGGGACTGTAGGTGGGGAAAGGAATCTCTCTTGGGATGGAGAAAGAAAGACCATGCAGTGCATATGAGCAGGTTTATAATGAGGGTGGGAGCTGGCAGGAGGCAGGTGGGCCACCTTAGCCTCAGGACTTTTTCTGGGCAGTGGCAGCACCTGGGATAGGCCTGTTTGCAGCCACAGAGCCTGGTCCTCCTGCTGCTTGTCTCCTCCTTTCCTGCCTTCCTCCTCCACCTTCTACTTCTTTGGTGGTGACTAAGCAGCCAGTGACAGTGAAGGAAAAGTGAGCACCCTGCTCAGAGTGCCAGCCCTGTGGGCTGGAGCCATGGCTCCTCTCCAGATTGGTGGAGGAGCCTGGTCCAAGGCCATGACTGCCTTGACCTGGCACCTCCTCAATGAGGCTTCTAGCTTTGTGGGTCTCTTATAGCAGGTATCTAGGAGGCTTGGCCAGAAGCGGTTGCTGCTACTTGTATTTTCAATTCTCTCTTCAGAATAGCCTGAGAGTGTCCAGGGTTGTCTTCAGGTGGTGAGGAGATATTGCTCTGTAGGGTTAGGAGTGTCCTAGGCTGCTGAGCCCTGGCTATAGCCAAGAAGAAAGTTGTTGGGCCTTGGCAGTGATTACTGACCCCTTTTTGTTGGGCTGTTAGTTCCTTGCTGGAGAATTTGGCCTCAAAGACTTGCCAAGATAGCTGGGCCAGGAAGAAAGCGCCGCAGCCCTGACCCAGACACCGTTGCTGACCCCGGGGCACTCTGGCTGTCGACTAAGCGGCTCAAGATGTCTGGTGGGTCCAGTGCCACAGACCCGAGGAGGGGGCCCCCAGGACTGGAGGAGGCCGCTAGTAAGAAGAAGCAGAAGGATCGAGCAAACCAGGAGAGCAAAGATGGAGATCCTAGGAGAGGTGAGAGTGGCATTCCCAAAGCACGTGTGGCCTTTTCCTCTTCCTCCCCTCTCGATGGGCATACAGATTGGGAGTTGGGAGATGACTTTTTTGCTGTTTCCTCTGTACTGATTTGATCCTGAGAGAAGGACCCATAGTAGGCTGGGTAGAGATTCAGCTTTGGGGACTGAGGTACTTGGCTGAGATGCAGAAGATGGTGCTTAGTGGGGTGGTGAGGTCTTAGAGACTGTCTCCCTATCACTGTCACCCTTTCCTTTGTTGTCAGGGTCAGTATCCATTCCTCAAGAGGAGCATACCAAAGAGGGTGAGTAATGAACGGGCCATTTGGGTGCTAGGAGAGTGGAGGGGACACTGGGCATTTAGCTCCCACCTGGAACAGTCCCATTAGGGCTGGGTCTCTGCTACTTGCTTATCCCCATCAGGAGCTTGTGGAGATTCTCATGTCCTCTTTGCCACTCCCCCTACAGAGTTGTTGCTCGATTGGAGGCAGAGTGCAGATGAAGTAATTGTCAAGCTTCGTGTAGGAATGGGTCCCCTGCGGCTGGAGGAGGTGGATGCTGCTTTCACAGACACGGACTGTGTGGTGCGGCTTCCAGGTGCGTCCATCTGTCCTTAGCACAGCAGTGTATTTGAATCCTCTGATATTCCCCACCCCAGCTCACTGCTCCTACTTTGTCTCCAGGTGGTAGGCAATGGGGTGGTGTCTTCTATGCTGAGATAGAAAGTTCTTGCACCAAAGTGCAGTCCCGCAAGGGTGGTCTCCTGCAGCTGGCACTACCCAAGAAGGTGCCTCTGCTCATGTGGCCCTCTCTCCTGGTGAGTTCCAGTACAGGGTAGGGTGGGGATACCCAATGTAAGTTGACAGGACCTAACTGCTGTATCTTTGGTAGAAGAAACCTCTAGGGAGCCAGGAGCTGGCACCAGGACTGCGGTGCCAGGAGAATGGGCAGGAGCTGGCTCCCATTGCCTTGGAGCCATGCCCTGAGCCCCGCCGGGCTAAGCAGGAGGCCCGGAACCAGAAGCGGGCCCAGGGCCGTGGTGAGGTAGGCTCGGGCACTGGCCCCGGGGCCCAGGCAGGGCCCAGCGCCAAGAGGGCTGTGCATCTCCGCAGAGGGCCAGAGGGGGAAGGGTCCAGGGTTGACCCTGGACCCCAGGGCGATGCCCCACCCTTCCTGGCTGACCTGGCCACCCAGGTGAGAGCTGGGTGTCTGTTTGGGTGTTAGAAGATGGGCGGAAAGGGTGTGCACTGGTGTGGGAATCACCTGCCAGAACCAGGACTGATCCTGCCTGCAATCTTGCCAATAATAGGTTGAGGCTGAGGAACAGCTATGTGTACCACCGCTGAACCTCCAAACCTGCCTCCTGGGCTCAGAGGAGAATTTAGCCCTTTTGGCAGGAGAGAAGGCAGTGTCCCCCAGGAATGACCCAGTCTCTCCAGCCATGGCCCAGAACATAGACCCTGGAAAAGATGACCATGTCAAGGAGATGGCAGTGGCAGCAGATGTTGGAAGCTTGGTGGATGGTAAAGGTGGGGTTGGGGGTGGGCAGGCAGAGCCCTAGGTTGGGTTGCAAGGTTGGTGGTCTGGTAGGGCATAGAATAGCACCAGGCTATAACCTGTCCTGGCTGGCACTGAGCCATGGTCTCAACATAGAGCCTGAGCCCATGGTGAACCTGGCATTTGTCAAGAATGACTCATATGAGAAGGGGCCAGATTCAGTGGTGGTGCACGTGTATGTGAAGGAGATCCACAGGGACACCTCTCGAGTACTTTTCCGCGAGCAGGACTTCACACTCATCTTCCAGACCAGGTGAGTTGGTTGGCAGGCAATGGGGCAGACAGTATGCTTCAGATAGGACAGTATGCTTCAGATAGGACAGCATGTCTCATGCTCTTCCTCTTACCCTTCCTCCTGTCCTGCTCTGCTTCTGCAGGGATGGAAACTTCCTGAGGCTGCACCTGGGCTGTGGGCCCCACACCATCTTCCGTTGGCAGGTGAAGCTCAGGTGGGTGGTGCCTGGCCCTACCATTGTGTCTCTCCCACCCTGGGCTCCATCTCCCTGGCCCATCTAGCATGACACCCACTCCACCTAAATCCTGAGTTCAGCCTTTTTCTGCAGGAACCTGATTGAACCAGAGCAGTGCACCTTCTGTTTCACGGCCTCTCGCATCGACATCTGCCTTCGTAAGCGGCAGAGTCAGCGCTGGGGGGGCCTGGAGGCCCCAGCTGCACGAGGTCTGCACACGAGCTCCCTTCATTGCCCAGCTATGCATGACCAGGACCCACATCCCTGTCACATGCTGCTAACCACCAGCCCCCTCATTCCCCCTTTTTAAGGTGCAGTGGGTGGTGCAAAGGTTGCCGTGCCGACAGGTCCAACCCCTCTGGATTCAACCCCACCAGGAGGTGCCCCCCACCCTCTGACAGGCCAGGACGAACCTCGGGCTGTGGAGAAGGATAAACCCAAGGCTCGATCTGAGGACACAGGGCTGGATGGTGTGGTGGCCCGCACCCCTGTGGAACATGTAACCCCAAAGCCAGAGCCACACCTGGCCTCGGTGAGACTCCTGGGGTAGGAAGGGATAAGAATGGAGGCTGGAGAGCCTCAGGGCTGCTCTCTCATGTCCACTTTGCTCTCACAGCCCAAACCAACATGTATGGTGCCTCCGATGCCCCACAGCCCCGTGAGCGGAGACAGTGTGGAGGAGGAGGAGGAGGAAGAGAAGAAGGTGTGTCTGCCAGGCTTCACTGGCCTTGTCAATTTAGGCAACACTTGCTTCATGAACAGCGTCATTCAGTCTCTGTCCAACACTCGAGAACTCCGGGACTTCTTCCATGGTGAGGGCAGGGCCTGGATCTTGGGGTATGGGCAGAGCAGGTACCTTCACCCCTCACACCTCTGCTTGGGTGCTTTATCTAGACCGCTCCTTTGAGTCCGAGATCAACTACAACAACCCGCTGGGGACTGGTGGGCGTCTTGCCATTGGCTTTGCTGTGCTGCTCCGGGCACTGTGGAAGGGCACCCACCATGCCTTCCAACCTTCTAAGTTGAAGGTGAGCTTTGGCCACTCCCACTCTTGACTGGAGAGGACAGGGAGGGCCAGCAAGCTGAGTGTAAAGTGGCTGCTAGGGCTTCATGCTCACACTTTGTCCCCTGCATCCAGGCCATTGTGGCGAGCAAGGCCAGCCAGTTCACAGGCTATGCACAGCATGATGCCCAGGAATTCATGGCCTTCCTGCTGGACGGGCTGCATGAGGACCTGAATCGTATCCAGAACAAGCCCTACACAGAGACAGTGGACTCAGATGGGCGGCCTGATGAGGTCAGGGTAGGGGACTGATGGGGGCATGTCTCATGTGTGTCTCATTCCCCACGTCTCCTTGGTTCTCACCACCTTGCCTCTCAGGTGGTGGCTGAGGAAGCATGGCAGCGGCACAAGATGAGGAATGACTCTTTCATCGTGGACCTATTTCAGGGCCAGTACAAGTCGAAGCTGGTGTGCCCTGTATGTGCCAAGGTATGATGGGTTCCCCTGGAAAGAGGCCCCTTAGTTTGGCTCAGTGAGCCTGATCAGGTTAGGTTCAGGCATATACATCTTCAGGTGCTGGGGGCAAGGTTTGAGCAAGGAAGCTGGCAGGGAGGCCTTAGGCTCCTCTGTGGGCTGAAGAAGTCAGGCAAGGTAGGCTTCCTGACTGAGGTGAAAATGATGTTTGGGCTCAAAGGTGTGGTGTGGCAAAGGTAAGGTGTGGCAGGGTCATGGGTAAGATTGGAAAGGCACATGGGGTGCAGGTGAGGGACAAATTAGTAAAGTGACTAAGCTGAGCAGGGCCTCAAGTGACAGAGCAATCGTTCTCTCCTAGTGGGCCTTCCTTCTCCATCTAGTGTTCTCAAGCCTGAGAGTTTGCTGGTTGACTGTGAGGGTCTTGAGAGCTATCAGAGGGAGTGAATTGGGCTCTTTGGGCATGAGCATCCTGTCTCCCACTCCCTATGCAGCCACCCAGTGTCACCTCTGTATCCACAGGTCTCCATCACTTTTGACCCATTCCTTTACCTGCCAGTGCCCTTACCACAGAAGCAGAAGGTTCTCCCTGTGTTTTATTTTGCCCGAGAACCCCACAGCAAGCCTGTCAAGGTGAGTAGTAAGCCCCTATCCTCTGGGCTATCTCAGAGAACTTGGCCCACCTCCTCCACTGACTCTACCCTTGTTGCCACAGTTCCTGGTGAGCGTTAGCAAGGAGAACTCCAGTGCAAGTGAAGTGTTGGATTCTCTCTCTCAGAGCGTCCACGTGAAGCCTGAGAACTTGCGTCTGGCTGAGGTATGTCTGTCCTTCCCCACACTCTTACGTATGTGGACATGTGTGTACAGCCATTGGCATTTGCACACACACATATAAAAATGCATGTGACTGCACAAAAGAAGGCACTGTGCTCTTATTTGAGGCATGGTTGAAACCAGGCATTTGGGCTGTGCAATAGAAATGACCAGTTCCCAGCCATTGGTCAGGGTTTACTCCCCTTTTCAGTGGTGGACCCCAACCGCTTTTCCTTCTGCAGCCAGGAAGCTTGAGCTATAGGATTGTCCCTTCTTTCACTATGGTTCTCCCTCCATCCTGCTGCTCTCTCATTTTATCCCACATCTGCATGCTGGCCCTCCCCAAAGGTTCCTAGCCTTTATTCTAGCAGTGCCATTTTTCTCAGTGGGGTAGGTATAGGGACGAGACTTCTCAAATATGGCTCCTCCATAATATTATATTGCAGTCTTAGCAGGATCCTGCTACTTATAGCAGGGTAGAGGAACTGGGGAGCTGGTGTGGTTGATACCTGTCCTGGGTCTGGTCATTCAGTCTCTGATGCACCAGTCTCCTTAATTCTGTTGGGCACTAAGACTGGTACCAACAGAGGCCCACAAACCCCACCCCTGCCCCCATTGACCCAAGGCAGGGCCAAGCGTTCTTAGGACAGGGCTGGGGAAATGGCTTATCCTCACATGGGATCCATGTGTTCTCTGTTTGCAGGTAATTAAGAATCGCTTCCACCGTGTGTTCCTGCCCTCCCACTCACTGGACACTGTGTCCCCATCTGACGTGCTTCTCTGCTTTGAGCTGCTATCCCCAGAGTTGGCTAAGGAGCGGGTAGTGGTGCTAGAGGTGCAACAGGTGAGTGGGGGCCAACCTGATGGTATAGGGCCCTGGGGTGGTGGGTGTACTCCTGCCTGGCCTTGCTGAGCCAGACAACCCACCCTAGCGCCCCCAGGTGCCCAGCATCCCCATCTCCAAGTGTGCAGCCTGCCAGCGAAAGCAGCAGTCAGAGGATGAAAAGCTGAAGCGCTGTACCCGTTGCTATCGTGTGGGCTACTGTAACCAGTGAGGACCCCCATGGCCGCCCCCCACCCTTCTTCCCTACCTACCACCTGCCACCCTGCTCCACCCCTCCACACAAAGGCACATATGTTTTAAGCTCTCTACCTGCTACCCTACTTTACCAGGCCCTGGGGGAGGCACGGCTGGCATACCCAGTTCCCAGGGCCTAAGACTAGCCCCCAATATGTAGTCATAGAAGGTGAAGCTAAGGCCCTATCCTTATCTCCCCCTTCCCTCCAGGCTCTGCCAGAAAACACACTGGCCTGACCACAAGGGCCTCTGCCGCCCTGAGAACATTGGTTATCCCTTCCTGGTCAGTGTACCTGCCTCACGCCTCACTTATGCCCGTCTTGCTCAGCTCCTAGAGGGCTATGCCCGGTAAGTGCCCAATGGTTGGCCTGGGGTGGGACTGGTGGAGGGTAGAGGTGCTCAGAGGTGCTGTATGGGCTGGTCAGGATTCTTACTTGCCTTGCTGTCTATTGCCAGGTACTCTGTGAGTGTATTCCAGCCACCCTTCCAGCCTGGCCGCATGACCTTGGAGACCCAGGGCCCTGGCTGCACCACACTGCTCTCCACTAGCTCCCTGGAGGCTGAGGACAGTGAGAGGGACCCCATTCAGCCACCTGAGCTCCAGTTGGTGACCCCTGTTGCCGAGGGGGACACAGGGGTTCCCCGGGCATGGGCAGCCCCTGATCGGGGTCCTGTGCCCAGCACCAGTGGAATTTCTTCTGAGATGCTGGCCAGTGGGCCCACTGAGGTTGGCTCCTTGCCTGCTGGTGAGAAGGTATCCCGGCCTGAAGGTAAGATCTGGTGAAAGGATCTGGAAGCTGGAGTGAGAGGTAGAGACGTTGGGGGAAGATTGTTCAGGCCCTGATGGGCAGGGGAGCTCTCATTATCATGTTCTCTCGTAGCTGCTGTGCCTGGGTACCAACACCCAAGTGAAGCCATGAATGCCCACACACCCCAGTTCTTCATCTATAAAATAGACACATCCAACCGAGAACAGCGGCTAGAGGACAAAGGTGATGTCTGAGGCTGTGGATGGGAGCGAGGAGGTGGGTTGGGCTGGCTGTTCTCCACAGCTTCATAACCCTTCTCCCTACCTATCTTCAGGAGAGACCCTACTGGAGCTGGGTGATGACTGTAGCCTGGCCCTTGTCTGGCGGAACAATGAGCGCCTACAGGAGTTTGTGCTGGTAGCCTCCAAGGAGCTGGAATGTGCTGAGGATCCAGGCTCTGCTGGGGAGGCTGCCCGTGCTGGCCACTTTACCCTGGACCAGTGCCTCAATCTCTTCACACGGCCTGAGGTGCTGGCACCTGAGGAGGCCTGGTGAGAACAGAGCAGCAGGCAGGTAGTGGGGCAGGGTGGAGGGGAGACTTGCTGATCCTGATCCCACCTCTGTCCGCTACCAGGTACTGCCCACAATGCAAACAGCATCGTGAAGCCTCCAAGCAGCTGTTGCTGTGGCGCCTGCCAAATGTGCTCATCGTGCAGCTCAAGCGCTTCTCCTTTCGCAGTTTCATCTGGCGTGACAAGATCAATGACTTGGTCGAGTTCCCTGTTCGGTGAGCAGTGGACCCTGGTGACTGTGGGCAGGGCATGGGGGCCAGGGTGGGCATCCCGGGCACCTGCTGACCGTCTCACCCCTCCCTGACGGACTGCAGGAACCTGGACCTGAGCAAGTTCTGCATTGGTCAGAAAGAGGAGCAGTTGCCCAGCTACGACCTTTATGCTGTCATCAACCATTATGGAGGCATGATCGGTGGCCACTATACTGCCTGTGCACGCCTGCCCAATGATCGCAGCAGCCAGCGCAGTGACGTGGGTGAGGGCACACACAGCCAGCAGGATAGGTAGTAAGCATTGTGGTGCAGGCTATGTTCATACTCTTCCCACCCTGCTATAGGCTGGCGCTTATTTGATGACAGCACGGTGACCACAGTAGACGAGAGCCAGATCGTGACGCGTTATGCCTATGTACTCTTCTACCGCCGGCGGAACTCTCCTGTGGAGAGGCCCCCCAGGGCAGGTCATTCTGAGCACCACCCAGACCTAGGCCCTGCAGCTGAGGCTGCTGCCAGCCAGGTGAGGCATGGGGTAGATTCACAGGTTAGTGGGGATCAACTCAGATTGTGGAGCAGGGTTGAGGACAGCTTCCTCTCCTTCAGCCATAGGCCTCTCAAGCCCTGGGATTCGTGAGAGTTGCACACAGGGCTCCTTTACATCAAAGTCTTATCCAGAGGCATCCATGTGCCCTAGGAGCATTCACAAAGGTGCATGCACACCAACATATTGCCACTGGCAAGCACATAGACACCCATTTCGCACAGGTCAAGCAACTGCTCTGAACATCACTAGGCACTGTGTAAATAGATTATACCTGACACACTCTCAGCTTTCCTCTACATGCTCCCCACATGCCAACTCAGACTCTCATTTGTTATCATCCCTGTGTTCTGGCATGTACTCAGGATAGGGCCTATCTGAGCTGGCCACAGCCTTGGGTGGCTGTCACACTCTCTGAGGTGAGCATCTATTACTGTTGAGCCTTCAGGGTCTTGTCTCTTTTACTAACATTGTATGCCATACGCACAATCACATCTCTTTTCTGACTGGCTGCCTTTCTGCCTTCTCTCCTCCTTTGAGCACTGTCTGTCAGGATCAGAGAAATCCCTACTGAAAGCAGTGGTCAGGGCCTGGCATGAGGGAGCAAGGAAATTGCCCTGGAGTTGGCAGCCTTTTCTTCCATGAGCCAGTTCCCTCTGTGGGAGGCCTAGACTAAAAAGTTGACCAGATAACCCCCCACCCACCTCCATGGGAAGCTGCATGTGGATTGGGAAGTTGTCTTAAGGGGGCCAGAATACTGTCAAGATTTTCCCACCCTGTTGCTCTCAGTCTAGACAACGCTGAGATTGGCTGCCTGCTTACTCTCTGCTGCTTGATCTGGAATGCAGGGGGTTAGCCCCAGTCAGCCCGGCAGGACTGTTATGGCCAGCGGTCACAGAGACACTGGGTGTCCCCCACTCCTGGGTGCTGATGGCCGTTTCCGCCTACTATAGGCTTCCCGGATTTGGCAGGAGCTGGAGGCCGAGGAGGAGCTGGTGCCTGAGGGGCCTGAGCCCCTGGGTCTCTGGGGGCCCCAAGACTGGGTGGGCCCCCCGCCACGTGGCCCTACCACACCAGACGAGGGCTGCCTCCGGTACTTTGTCCTGGGCACCATGGCGGCTTTGGTGGCCCTCGTGCTCAACGTGTTCTATCCTCTGGTATCTCAGAGTCGCTGGAGATGAGCTCGCCTGCAGGCAGCTGCTGTGAGCTGGCCCACCTGCCTGCCCACCAGGCCATGCCTGCCTTTGTCATGGGGAACAGCTCTGGGGCTTTGAACCTGAGTGTGTGCATCTGGTGGGAGAGGATGGGGACTGTGGCCCCTGCAGGGGCAGAGCACACCAGATTGGGTATCCACCCAGCTCTGTCCATTCTTCCTGTTGCTCTGACCCTTGGCCTGGGGCTTGGTCCTGCCCAAGCTAATTCCTGTATTTAAAGTGTTAATAAAGCGAGACTATTCAGGCCCGATCTTGTCTCTCTGTCTCAATGCTGCTGCTGTCTGCGCCTGCCTTGGGGCCCTCCCTTGGGTGCTGGGGCTCCAAGCCAGCACCCCCGGGATGCCAGGCGACATGCTGGGCAGCCCCCAACCCCTGTCCTCGTATTCTGTTGCAGGGACTAGGCCCTGGCCAGGCCCCCGAGGTGGCCCCCACGCGGACAGCCCCTGAACGCTTCGTCCCCCCCGTGGACCGCCCAGCCCCCAACTACAGCAACATGGAGGAGGTCGATTAGCAGGTCCCTGGCTGATGGGGGTACTGGGTTTGGGAGATCCTTCTCAGAGGGCCAGCTCTTTGCCGCTTCTCCTTCTCTAACCCAGAAGACATTGGCTCCATCAGCGGGGAGTTAAGGTGTATGATTTCGGGGTGGGACTTTATAGGCTGGGACTTCTCATCAGCTTGGCCCCTGACCAGTGGGTCTTGGTTTCTCCAGCTGCCTCCAGTGCTGCGTGATTTGATTCTCAGTTGTACCTTCAATTCTTTCTGACCTGCATTATAAACGTTATAATTTTATTCTAAAAATTGTAATTTTTTTTTTTTTTTTTTTGCATTTTGGAAGTGATTGCTGCTGTTTAAATATATTTTAAAAATAAATAATAAATAAGCAGACTTAGTGACTATGATCCACCACATGCTATGACTACCTCCTCTCCCTCCCCATCGTCTGGTGTGTGTGTGTGTGTGTTACCCTGAAAGTGCTCTGGTCTGAGGGCAGATGGTGGGGTCCCAACTCATGCTCAGTGGGTCATGAAGTCCCCAGTGCCATCAGCTCTCTGGAGCCTGCCTGCTGCCCTTTGATTCTGGGTCCTACGTAGAGGTGGCTGTGGTTGGCATCATTGTCAAGATCTCAATACACTGAAGGGGTAGAGGAGTACTCTGTGAGGCTCTGGAGCTGATAGCATGGCATAAAAGGTGCAGGCACTCGAACAGCCTGAGGCTGACAGACAGTAGGTCAGGGAGGACTTGGTGGAGGACAGAGGAGGTGCTGGGGGATTCGCCTCCTCCTTTCCTACTCTCAGGTCTTCCTTTGCTATAGTTTGAACACCATCTGCATCCCTGAGGGGAGAACACAGCAGGAGAAAAACAGTGGAGATCCTGCTCTGAAAAGAGGACAGGCGGAGAAGACCAGAGCTAATCCTGACTTCCTATTGGATGGAGGGTGTTGGGCCCTGCCAGGCTATTTCTTCCCTTAAGAGTCCCTGAGACCTAAAAACCAAAACCAAAAACCAAACCAAAATTAAAAAAACCCAGAATTCCTGAGATCTCAGCTCTTGACATCTGCCCCAGGCTATTTAGCCACAGTGGGTCCCAGCCTCAGAGCCTCTGCAACTGTGTACACACACATAGCAAGGGCAAGTCTTGTAAGAAATCTTGCCTCCCTTTGTGGATAGTGCACCCTCTTCTCTCCAATTGCTTCAGGATCGGGTGGGCATCTCTAGCTGGAAGGAGATGGGGAGCATACACACTCATGAGGCAGGTGTGTAGAGAAGCCAGAGTGGAAGTAAGACAGAGGCAGATATGGAGCAGGATTGTGGTAGTCCTCTAGATCCATCCCTATCCCCAAGTGTATGCGGGCAGTCTTACATGAAGCTTACCATGTAGACCCTGCTAGTAGCCCTCAGCCTCAGTTGGAGTTAGGAATGGTAGTGAGCAGAGGGAGCTCCTGGAAGAAGCTAGCCCCATGACCAATGTTGGCTTATTTTTTGGTGGGGACAACAACACAAAGGCAATGTGGGGTTGCTGGCTATGGGGAGGGGCCTGGAGAGCTGGGTGTGGGACCCTGCAGAAATGGTGGAATTGCTGACCTGTGTGCTGGTGCTGGCAGTTGTGATACTGCTGGAGAGCCTCTGTGTACTGCAACAGGGTTGTTGTGCTGGGATTTTACTTTGTGCAGCCCCAAGTGCCCGAGAGGCTGGCCATCATTGGCCTGCATGTGCTGGATACACTGATCAAGGGCCTTTTTCCACCTTTGATTGAAGCCCTGCTGCTCCTCAGCCTGCCATCCTGTACCCTTCTGCAGCCTCTACTGCTTCTGCTGTCAGACTGTGCAACAGGGGTCTGTCCATGGGCCTAACCGCTGAACCCTACCTCTCATGCCATAGGTGGGCCTTGCTGGCTGCTGCCTGGCTTTTTTCCTTGGTCAACTTTCTTTTGATTTTCCTGGAAAAAGTGGCAGGGGCTCAGGCAGGCAGGCTAACCCCCATGCTGGGTCCTTACAACTTCACGCTTCTGCTCTGTACAAGTCACAGGGCTCCAGAAGACTGGCTGGACATCCACAGGTATCTGTCACTACCACTTGTGGCATTCTTGGTGGTGCTGGTAAAACTACTGCTTCATCCTGGGACATGAAGCCACAGGGTCCACAGGGTAACATAAGGGAACCAGGGAAGGGAATACAGGCCTGACCCTAGTAAGGGGGCCATCACCAGACCTGCAGGACTTCATGATGGTGGTTATGCAACAAATGGCAGCAATGAATGGCAGCATCAAGTACCAAGGAAACAGTCACTTTGCATGGCTCTGCTCATCATGGGCACCTTTGAAGTGGGCTGGGCATCTGCAGCTGCAAATTTGGCACAGCTCTGCTTCTCGGTGCCTGTCCACAGCACCACTGTGCTGCATCCCCTGCTCAACTCCCGCACCTGGCCTTCCTTGCACAGTGCACTCCAGGGCTGGGCATCAGGCTGGGGCCATAGGGCCAAGCCCCAAGACACAGAATTGGACCTGGATACCGATGCAGCATGTAGCCCTGGGCAGAACCTAGTACGTGGTCATCATATGGGATCCAGATGTAGGACCATCTGACCCAATCTCAATAAAATAGCTTCTCAAAGGCCTGCAGAGCGATTTCAATATATAATTTGTGGTTTTCGTGATTTTTGCATGTTTTGGCAAGGGGAGTAAGTGTGGCACGAGATTTAAAGCCAAATCATCACTGAACTGCGAGGTCCCTCCTGGCCCAGACCATTCCCATTCCCTTCCCTCTTTTGACCGGGTGTGTCTGGGTAGGCACCTAAAAAGTGCCGGACTTATGGGGCCCCTCGATCGACCCTTCCGCACATTCTCTGCGCTGGAGTTTTCATCAGGGATATCTCAGCTTCATTTAGCTCGACCGTTTCCATGACAACTCCAAAGCGGTGACGTAAAAAATGCGACAGGACTCACATTTGCTCCCAAGAACAGTATTGGGATGGAATTCCCAGGGTGACAAAGAAAAGTCGAAGAGCAAAAGGCCATGTCCACGCACCTGCCTCGGCGACGAACACCTTCCCTGCAGGTCCGCAGCAAATTCCTCCTAAAGTCCCGCTGCTCCCCACCCCTTCATGAGGCCGGGACCACGGAGACGGAAGTAAAGCGCCGGAAAACCTTGGCTGGTCTACCCTCTGTCCCTTAAATGGCGTCGTCGACCCTTGACAGCCCCGCCCCCTCCCGCCAAGGCTCTCACCATTGGCTCTTCCCGGAGACTTCGCTCTCCTATTGGTCAGTGGGCGAATGCCGACGTGCTGATTGAGCCCAAAGTTTCTTTTGGTTTCCGGTGGCCCTCCGATGGCGACTGCAGACTCCCTGTCGCTCTTCACCGGCCTCGGCCTGAGCGAGCACAAGGCCCGGGAGACGCTCAAGAACACGGCTCTGAGCGCGCAGCTGCGCAAGGCTGCGACCCAGGTGCGAGTCCCTCTGCCCCTGGCCCGGGCTGCCGACTGTGTCCCAACGCAGCGCGAGGCCAGGTCCCTATCCCGATGGCTTGTCACGCTCCAGCCTGTCTCACTGGGCGTCGGTCTTCTCTCCTGATCTCTCTGAACCCAGGCGCAGCAGACTCTGGGCTCCACTATCGACAAGGCTACCGGGACCCTGCTATATAGCTTGGCTTCCCGACTCAGGGATACCCGGCGTCTCTCTTTCCTCGTGAACTACGTAGCCAGTAAGAAGATCCACACTGAGCCCCAGCTGAGCGGTGAGACCCCTTCCTGTTCTGCCAGTTCCGCCTCCGGACTCTCTCTTTAGCCAACACCCCTAACTGTCCTTTTTGCCAAGTCTCCCAGTTTCTTTCTAGATACCTAAATCGGCACAGGCACTAAAGCATTGAGGGGGCGGCCTCTCGTGAGACTGACACGGGCACTGTCTAGGTCTGAGGAAGAACCTTCCTCAGAACACATGCTTCTTCTTTGTGGCCTCAGGACCTCACTAGGGTGGTGCCAGGATAACACCTTGGTAGGCCAAACTGCACTTGAGGTTTCATGCAGTTAGGGTCCTGTCTACCCACCTATTGGAGCTGAGATGCCACATACTCATTGGCTCTCCTTTCTCAGCTGCCCTTGAATATGTGCACAGTCACCCCCTGGACCCCATCGACACCGTGGACTTTGAACAGGAATGTGGTGTGGGTGTCATGGTGACCCCAGAGCAGATTGAGGAGGCTGTGAGTATTTCCCCATGCATGGGCTGCCTCCCTAGTCCTGGCTCTGGAAAGGAGTGGCTTAGCTTCTCTACCCAGAAAGACCCAGGGTGGAGGTATGGATTCCTAGAATGTCTCTGAAGACATGGTTTGGCTTTCTGCAGGTGGAGGCCACCATAAGTAGGCATCGGCCCCAGCTCCTGGTGGAGCGTTACCATTTCAACATGGGACTACTGATGGGTGAGCAGGGCCTGGGGCAGCAAACTACATTGTTCTCTCTGGTCATGCTTTCTCTTCTGGGCATGAATGAGAGGGAAGTGGGGGAAGGAGCAGGATCACATTTTTTTCTTTTTCTTTGTTTTTGGCGGCTGGCCGGTGTGAGGATCACCTTAAAAGAGGTCTGGCTGGGTGCAGGCACAGGTTCCTGTGACCAGCCAGGATCTTTCCTTGGGAAAAAAGGTGGGGAGTGCCCTCTTTTGCCTTCCTTCAGCTCCTTGTGCCCATGATTCTTCTAGGAGAGGCTCGGGCTGTGCTCAAGTGGGCAGATGGCAAAATGATCAAGCATGAAGTGGACATGCAGGTAGGTACCTCCCTGAGCTGAAGCTGGCAAAGACCCTGGCATGGACAAAGGCTGGAATCCACTGAAGGATAAAAGTGGGAAAAGACCTATCCCTATTCTGGTGGTGGATAGTATAGCCCAGTGTGGAAGGGGCAGCACCTGACTGGGTAGTGAAAGACTTGGGCCTCTGGGCTGTGCCTAATTTGGCGTGAGTCACTTTACTCTAAATGTCAGCTTCCTCATCCCATAAATAGGGGTGAAGTGACCTCATCTGAGAGTGCTGGTATAGAATCAGAAGAGGGTGATAGCTGAGTTAGATTGCTTATTTTGATGCTGGGCCCACGGTTTCTCTCTGTAAACAGCAGTCCTTGTTACCTGGGCCCAGTATGGACTCTCAGGAAGGAGAGAACATTTGAGGCCAGTAGAACCACATGAGAAGAGGTGGGATGGGCTAGGTAGGTTCTTCCATCTAGTGCCAGTAGATAGGCCAGGAAGCCCTTAGGTGGCTGGGTGGGGTCTGTCAGGTGCCCCTTGAAAGAGGACACTTCTGTCCCTGCCTGATTCCGGTCTCTGCTAAGGTCCTCCACCTTCTGGGTCCCAAGATGGAGGCTGATCTGGAGAAGAAGCCCAAGGTAGGGTTGGGCATGAACCTGGGTCCCTGGGGGCAAGTCGGGTAAGGT